AGTCATTGTACAAAATCGCCAATGGGTTGTTACTGTTCACCAGGAACGGATTAGTTCGACCAGGATGATTGAGGTCGTGAACTACAGCGGCCAAGAGCATTGCCACTTCGTCCATACTGTCAAAAACGGACTGTAGATGAATAGTAACAAGACAGGAGGGGGTGGGCGTTATTTTTTGAGAGATATTTCGCTGACCATTTTATGAAACGGTTGTGGTTTATGTTGATACGTCAAAAGCAACTGCCGCTCATCGATGCAAAGGTATTGGATGACGATAAAACACCACTAGTTTGCACGACAGCTATTCTAGACTTAAACTTGTCAAGTGCTTCGTAAATAAAAAAGTGAGTTAATTTTTCAACTGTGCAATGCATAAAGTGCATCGCAACCGTCCTAAGTAAGGTTTTTTACAAGAGAGTCAAAGGTGGCATTAACCCGAAAGTGACCTACATAGATTAATTGAGTTCCCTGTCAGGTTCTGAGGACAGCATGTGCCTGATGCGTGAACTCACGTGAGTGAAAATAAATTTCTCCTCAGTTCTTAGTTGCTTAAGCTTATAACTGGGTACTGGAAGATATAAATAATATTTGATTGCAAGATGGCACGAGTTTCTTAGTCTAAGCAACAACTGTACTACATAAATCCTTAAATGTATCACGTTGGTTATTTACTGATTTTTGTCCCAGCACACCGAAATCCCTTTCAGACAAAGAAGTGAATGAAAATTTGCTATTCAACAACCCTTATTTCATCCCAGTTTAACACACAAAGTAACTCTGGTGATTTGGCTGTTTATAATCGAAACACTAGTTTCGGGACAGAAACTCTTGGAGTAAAAAGGAATCACGGGATGTGACAAATATGCACGCGCGCGCGCGAGCGTGCCCGCCTCCCCCTCCCCCTAGGTATAAGAAGCTATTCAGGAAATCTAGGTGCTTGACGAAAAACGTACGGTTCTCATGTGCCCCGCTTAGTGACACTGCAATGTATCAGATTCTATCCAGAACACACACCGAGGGTGATCTCGTTCCACCTAAAATAGATTTTCATTTCGTTCTCTGCAGTTTTAATTTCCATGGGCATTTCATTTTCAGCCGAGACAAGCTTCATCGACCCTGCTTTTCTGTGGTCATCGGCAAAAAACCTAGATGGAAGAATATCTGCCCAGGGATCAGGAGAAATTTGAGCGCTATAGTATTACCTCTGCAGTCTGGATAATTTTGGAGCTGTTGAAAGGAAACCGTCGATCTGTGATTACTAGATGTTGAATAATTAATGCGCATAGCTAGATGCTTTATCCATTTGTCCGTCAAGACACGTGACTCAAACTTGTGGAACACTTATTGGTGATCATAAGTTTGTGTACAATAAATTTAATCAGAAGCTCGTGATGTCAAACGGAGTACACCAAGCTCGGCTTTCCCTTTCATTCGAACACAATTCCATTGAATCCTGCCGGACATGAACTAGGTTAATCACAACTGTGTCAACTAATTCACCGAGACTGACCGGAATCATCAACTCCAGTTTGTTCAAACCAGTCATTTAGTGGTAGCCAATCAGGCGTCGGTTCTAGTACGATTTTGCAAAAGTTACCCTGGTCGCTGATGGTAAATAAACCATTAACCACCGATCCTCGATTTATGAATAACCAAAAATAAGGGAAAGAATTCATATAGCTGTCAGAAATTAACCCGAGCTGATACATTAAGTGGAGGGAGTAATTTTTTACTAAAAGACCTATTGATTGCACAATATAAATCAAACGTGGTTCTTTCTCCCACCCGACAGCTGCAGCATAATAAAAGAACAATTCACGCCTCTGGAGCTTGTCCACTCACGTACGACGCACACACACACATACACACACACAGAGGCACGTGTCTAGCAACGTCCGAAAAGGATGTCACCCACGCACACACACTCACTGTCAAGGCATCACGACGCATCAGATACGCGGTGCACTGCATCACATCGGCCGCGTGCGTGGCATTGTGATACGGATTGTTCATGTGGTAGTTCTCCTCAATCACCGTCAACCACGTCATCATCATCGGTTCATTGATTCTGAGCACCCCAAACACGTTGAATCGATTGAACACTTTCATCGCCAGAAAACGCAACGGTCTGTCGGCGACAAGCACAGTGGAGGGGGGGGGGCGATCAAGAATCCGAAGTATAAGGGGTGGTGTGTGTGTGGGGGGGGGGGGGGAACATAGCACGAAGTTCGCACTGAATCCACATGCAGTTACGTAATCACGAATCAATATGTTTGACAGAGCTATTAATTAATGAATGTAATATGGCATCTTTTGATACCGTTTCTTTGTTAACCAATGTACTTATTGTGGAAACTACATAAATCATTTGTGACTACGTATAGCAGAAACAAAGAGATTTGAGCATTAGGCCTTCTGTCTCGGAACGTCAACCGGGTATATGCACAAGGTCGGTCGGCCATTTAAACAAATCGATGGCGTAGTTATAGGCAGCCCGTTGGGTCCGGTTCTAGCTGATATATTTCGCGATTAGCCTGGAGCACAAAGCCAGTAGGATATTGAACAGAGAAGGTATGTCGATGACACGTTGATAATCAACCATTGAAGCATCAATGTATGCTTTGATGTTTCGTAGGTGGGTCAGATGCTGTTGACCGGAACAAACGTGGCTTGAGGGTCGTTATAGAATATTTCATAGTCTGAAGAATATGAACGACTAGCCAAAATTTCCCTNGCACACGACCGGTTTCGCGGGTATTGCTACTTATGTCCAGGTATCGCAGAAAAAGAGACATCTACTCTATTGAAGGTGGTAGTGATGGTTCATATATGGACTGCCCAAGATGAGCATGTCCCATAAAATATATCCCTCTTCCCTCCGAGATATACATTGGAAAACGTAAAAAGCACTGTAAATGTGCAAGCAGCATGCGAAATATGACCACAAATAGTTTAGGGAAACACGCAAACTGGATAATGTAAGGTAGGTAGGACAAATTTAGCATCAACATCGGTGGACTTGAAATTAATTTATCGTGTTTATTCCACTCAAATCATTTTTGTTCCCAATGTTATTTGCACCATGGATCATTCGATCTAATAAGAAATCAGGTTTATTTAATTTTGTTGAGAAGAAATAAACACGGATTCCTTTTTCCGTGTGTGCATCCATCCATGCATGCACACGTGTCCGCTCATCAATCCGTTCCCTCTCGGAACCGGACGAAGCCCATCATTCAATTGTTGTCTGTCTCCCGGATCTCTTTCGCTGGGCACAAACGCACCATAACATGGGGGTTGGAGGATGTGTGTGTATGTGTGTCTCTGTGTGTGTGTGTGTGCAACTCTGACCTTTTCCGATCTATACTCATTGATAAATTACAGTACACGTGTTAACTTGTATGTATGTTCATACAAGTGAACAAGTCACTTACCTTTTTTGAGTGACCTTTTCCAACGCGAGAATATCGTAGTCCCAATGATCATCATTTTCCAGACAGGATTCAATTTCTTGCGTCAATCCAATTTCGGGTAAATTGTGTATCATGGAGACTGTGGAGTGAAACGCAGATGGAGTTTAAAATAAAACTAGTGAACGCTTCGCTCAGTGTAGCTTTATTTTTCATATATGAAAAATAAAGCTACACTGAGCGAAGCGTTCACTAGTTTTATTTNGTAGCTTTATTTTTCATATATGAAAACCACTACACATGTTGGAGATCATCATAGAACTAACGTTGCACCCTTTATTTATTTTATTTGTAAAAGATTAACGTTTAAGGTAAGCAAGGGGTGGGACTACACAGTGAACCATCCTCATTGAACGGAGTCATTTAGTCATACGGGATGGTAAACATTTTTACCTGTAATTAATTAAAGCTTCACCTTGTTGCAACGACCGAGGATTCGAACCTTACCTACAAAATCTAGTCCAGGGTCTGTCAGTTCTACCATTTGGCGCTAATCTATTTATCCGTTTAGTAGTTATTGCGTAAAATTCTGGCAAATAATAACAAAATAACAGACGAGAGAGGAAAGATGCTGTGAAATATAAAAACAGATCTGAGGAATTATTCATATTAACGTAAATATTAAGAAAAAGTCACTACTACTATATTTACCATAGCTAATATCTAATATCAGCAATACTATCATCCCTACTGATACGATTATTGATAAGTAAAATGTACAAGAGAACGAAGTGTCTCAAAACTTTTCTACTCAAAAGTCGAGTAATTGTACGGAATATCATAAAGCCCGATATTTGTAAGTTGATCGCAGATACATACACGACTGTATTTGTGGAGAAATGAGGAAAAATTAGATGCGTTCGTTTGTTGTATGTGCATCCGTTATGTCATTCATTCTGTTTACGTGAAAGGAGATTAAATCTAGTCTGAGCATTGCCCTACGAGGGATTCGTGGATGATGGCTGGCAAATACAACCCAAGCATTCCGATACGTATATCCTTTTGGAACAATGCAACAGCAACCTCATGTGTACTTTGTTCTCACCTCCTCCTCCAGCTGCCCCCCCCCCAAAAAAAAACAAATAGAAGCCCGAAGGGTGGATACGTCGCAGATGACAAAAACTATCTGATCGTTAACTATAGTGCACCAAAAATATGACCGATGAACCTGTTCTAACACCGTTTGAAAGTGACTAGCGCTTACTTCAAAGACAGTAAAACTATCTGTGCATTTATGTTTCAACATTCGCTTTCTCCACTACTCACTGCTATGTTATTTCTACTACAACAGTAGACAAATATTCATGCTCACAAAACCTACTCAGTCATGTCAACTTCTCGCGTTCACATTGCTTTTTACATCCCACTATCATATCTGTGATCTCTTGTAATAGTCGGTTATCTCAAAAAGGTAAACCAAATTTATTTTACACTTGTGTTTGAAGCTACTTTCTACTTTCATACATCGGTGCACCACATGCAACAGCTTCTTCGAGAGCGCAGGTAGGAAATTCCACTTCATCGGGATGCATCTGAAATGCTAGTGATGAATATCATTGTTACTGTCGCTACCCAAATCTGATTGAAAAAGGATCCGTTTGGGTAAACTAGTAGGAATATTGGCCACTTGGAATTCTTTTTGATGGTTGAAGTCTAAAGTGAAACACACTGTGCGAGATTGATCATAGATCGTCTTTTGATAAATCCAAGTTAGTGTTCGATGATTACCAGATTTGTCTAAACAGTCCCACAGAGTGGCGAACAAGCTCGTTTTCAGTGATCCGTAGTCATGCCAAATACATCACAATAAATATTACGCTGTTTATATAAATCAGTATGGTGGAATACTGACTTATATATAAACAGCGTAATATTTATTGTGATGTATTTGGCATGACTAAGAATCACTGAAAACGAGCTTGTTCGCCACTCCTTGTTCTATTACCAGATTTCTCCCAAAACCGTGGGATTGGAACTATAGCTGCCTATGACAAATGTGTTTGGCAACCAAGGCGAAAGGGGGGGTCTGCCAATGTCCAACTTTCGTTATATTCAAATTCATGTTGATTTGTAAACGGTCCAAATGGCTGTGTCAAATAATTCGTTAAATTCCTCATAAACAGCCTCCTATGCTATCCCTGCTTGAAAGCCGTAACGGGGTGAATCAAGAGTAATAAAAGAGTGAGACAATTCACCCTGTGATGTGTGTGAACTTCCCTCCTCATGCAGGTCAAGTATGAAATGTGCGCATAGAAAAGAGAGAGAGAGCGAGGATATTCTCGATCCATGTGCGAAGTGGATTGTATTTGAATACAGACGCATATAAAATATCAAAAATTTTAGTGCCCTTTCAAATCTTCGCTCAACCTCGCTCTTTAATTTTCTCGAAAAATGTGTCTGTTCTTTGAACGCCCCGCACGAGTGAAGGAAGCTCTGGCAGTTGCTACGGTTCTTGTAAGTGGATGTTGTGCCCAAAATGTTCACCTGGGAATATGCTTTCGATTGTTTCATGTCAACCAAAGGGGAACAGGAAGGTTTTAAATATCGTTCGGATAAAGTTGAACAAGTGGAATATGTAAATTGTTTATGGAACTGTCAGAGAAATTCCTTCGCGCTATTTTCGCTCTCCTCTCACTCGTAAAAACCCTAAATATATTTTGTCCAAACGCGGGCAGGAGGATAGTGTTAGCAGATGGAATCGGTTTTGCATACAGGATCTCAAAATATGCCAGTCAAACACCATCGGTTTTAGGGGTATGCAACCTGAAAGAATGGCTAAGATTTTTCATGGGTTTTAGCGTATACGCGGGAATTCATCAACGTCAGTTCTCTTCTTCTAGCACTCCTCTGTCAGGTTTGGAAGCTGTATCGCACCTCCTTCTCCGGATTTCCGTGATTTATACTGTCGATGATTGCAAGCAGAGATCAATTTAATACAATAGTGGTTTCTCTGTATTTCGCTCGCAAAACATTCATTTCCAAACTCACGTCTCAAAGCGGAACCGGTGGAGGCGGACCGTGGAAAATGTTTCTTCCGTTCCTCATGGTCGACATTCTAAAATCGAATAAAAGTTAGAGAACAAAAAATGGAGTTTATGTGGGACAGGGGAGCTACACAAACATATACCGTCTATATTCGAAACGCAACAAGCTCACATAGGCCGAGAATTCGCAGAAAGTCACAACTATGCTCCGCAAAAACAGTCTTCACATCGTAACTTCAAAGAATTTGAAAATAAAAACAACAACAAAAGCAATAAAAACTAACCGCTTTGACTTATTTTCGTTCAGTCCATCAAAGACACTGGAATTTGCTTTCGTTGATGTTGTTCACTTATTCACGGAATATCTGTACGTGGTAGTTACTAAACATCGATGCACGCAGATGCATTCAATGGATATTTTTGGTTGAAATCACGCACGGTGGGCAGCATTACTTACCACCATCAAACCCTCCATCAGATCGGCCGCGAGTGGATCTCGTTGCTGATTGGTTGGACGAAAGATCTGATTGACAAATACATCGGATTTGCAAATGATATCAATCGCTTTTTGAAGTTCTTTGGCCACCAGATTGGAACTTCTTGTTTTGGACGAATTCAGAATTGCTACCACCTTAAACAGGACAGAAGGTGTGCATGGGTGAGGGTGTGAGGAGGGAGGTTGGAAAACTCGGAAACAAACAGAAATAAAAGAATGAAATTTCATTCGGCACGTGCGTGTTTATGGGTGCGCCTGAGAGAAAGAAATGCAAATTAACTTCTTCTGAAGGGCTGCCCACATTCTACTACGAACAATCAGATTTGTGGGCAAAGCTGAAAATATCGTGCCATCATATTGTATTACCACGCATGGATTGCATGCGTGACAGAACTGGGGTAATTTTAAAATCGTTTCTGGTCGATTCTTTTCAATGCGACATTTTCAGAGATGATCTCAGGTTGATGGACACACAAAAGCGGTCAAGGTAGCTGGTCACACCCATTCAAGAATATTGCCCGATTGAATTGAATTGTGCTTATTGTTCTTTCAAATATACTGAAAACAGACAGTTTGACTTAGGATTTTATTTGTAAGCTTTCAGTCAAATTTTGCATAACAAAACAAAGCAGATTTAAACGCCTTACAAATGAGTTATCATAACCCGGGTAAAATCACGATAATGAATACTGAAAAGCCTAATGTGCCATGCTTTTAAAGGCGTTGTTTGACAGGATCCATAATTACATTCTTATTTTATTAATTAAGGGTGATAATTACCATCATGTTTATAAAAATCAATATGATAACAGTATTATTATTATATCGACTGGAAAATCTATAAGAACAACGAAGACGAGAGTATTAGGGGTGTTGTGATGTGTAATAAAGAGGTCATTATTCATTCGTTTTGCGCATTTGAAAAATTATTGGCGAAGAAATTGAACACGGAAACCACTGGTTGTGTGACAAGTTTGGGAAATACCCACAAGGTTTCGTTTATAAACCTGTTTTGAGATCAAATATTTACCGAAACAACTAATTCACTTGCAAGTTGCAAGCAGTACCAGTTAGTTTTTACCTCTTCCTCTTTCGGGAACTATCAAAATAGGGGAGGGCATCAATTACAGTTGGGTGAAACCGACAACTTCTCTAAGGTTAATATAGCATCGAAAAAGACAATTAAGTGCAAGTCATTAACGGATATTTTGTTATATATAGTTATCACTGAAACTAGCTTTTGCCGTTGACCTTTGGAAGGTTTCCAGATAGCCTCTTCACCCAGTGTCTCCATTCAATAATTATGAGGACATTTATGTTCACTCAGAAAAATAGTCAAAATCTGAACTGACTGAATTGTAATGATTAGGTGGTCGGAACAGAACCACGTAATGATACTGCTTTGCTGGAAATTGGTCATCCCATTATAATCATTTACAAGTACAACAATCCGATCAAATCCGAGCTTATTTCCTTAGTAACTACGAGGAAAGATGTCTACACAGAACTAATTTTCAACGGATATGGTGACAACAAACATATCTCGTCGTTTAACATGCGCCGTGGAAAGAAGGTACAATGCCGCAAGACTAAAGATTGTCCACAGGATGTTTCATTATTTCACTCGTACTAATCTGGAGCGAGAAGACGCTAGTATTACCCCCAACTGTTTCTATTTACCTCAACGTACCTGCGGACAGAAAGTCGTTTATCAACCAGAATGTGTGAACACATTCCGAAACACCTCGGTCTTCGCGAAGGGTATAACCATCTATACCTTTTCAACTTCAAGTGAATCCGTTGAAACTTACAGTGAATCCAACCAATCGCATTCCATGGGAACCGCACAAGGTGATTAGTGTTTCGGCCGTCAAACGTCACCAATTGAAGCGTGTTTGCCTAAACCCCGTCCAGTCCGAATGAACGAATTTCCCCGTAAATAAACAAAAGTAATTTTTGAATGAGTTACCGAGTGAGGATGAAAGATTCCGTGGGAATGTTATGTCTTCAACCTTTGAACGAGTGAGCTTTAGACGAGGATAACCGGACCCGACGTTAATTGACCTCGGTCTACCGAGTAAGAAAGCAAATCATGTCAAGATGGATCAATAAATCGGTCACCATGTTCAGGTGTGAATGTGAGCATGATGCATGGCACAAATTGGTTCAGTCTGAACCCTCAGTAGCCCAGTGAGTAAATTCCATTGGGCCAGAAGTTCCCTCGAATGACACCGATTCCTTCGAGGTGAATGCAATTCTGGCATTGGAAGATAAGCTTGACGAGATACTTATTACCATTGTTCGTTCAGATATGATGAACATATTGCCTGGAAGCTGAGCCATTTTAATTGTATGTTCGGCGCAGCTGAATGCTGCGTCTGTGAGCGGCGAATAGTGAGAATGGTTCAGCGCTATCATATATGCCACTCTATAATATAATAATAATATATAATAATATTTCTAGAATTCTAGGATTCCGGGATTGAGGCAACCGTGGGTAACTTACTGTGTCCACTTCTACTGAATACCCCTTGAAACACCCTGTAAAATGAATTCATACATTGTAGAATCATGAATAACTGTGAATTATTCTCACAAACACACGTCCCACCCATTGAATTATAAGGATCACACAGATGTAATCAGGCTGTGAAAAGATGCGGTCGGTTGTCCAATGATACGATCAGGATAAGAACCCTCGAGAGGGCCAAGGGCATAACGTTCTCGGAGGTTGGGTGGGTGGGGGGTTGGGTGACGAACAGTCAAACCCAACACCACACGACCCCACATCACCGAAACTGTCATCCTCACTCGGCAACTCACTCGGAAATTTCTTTTTTCTTTTGTTCATGTGGAAATTAGTTCCTTCGGACTTGATGGTGTTTGGACAGACCCTGTCTAATCGGTGAAGTTTGTCAGCCGAAAAGCCAATCATCTTGTGGGGTTCCCATGAAATGCGATAGATTGGATTCACTTGAAGTTTCCACGTATTCACTTGAAATTGAAAAGGTATGGTAGAATTACCCAGCATATGTTAGACTCCGGTGACCACATATACGCACTCAAAGCGTTTCGAGTCTCTTCCAAAACCCGAAGATCAAGAATTTTGCGAGTTTTGGAAGCAATAATTATTCATCGCTTGAAACCGTAAGTATGTGCTCAAAAACATTTATGATGCAACTGTTGTTGCCGTGGTAGTGATGATGTCACGCTTGATACCACCCTTCTAAGGTTTGTGACATGCCCTTACCCCTCCTCCCTCCTTCCATCAGTGCTCAAATGGCTTAGACCAATTCACCTTCATATCAAAGTTTGTCATCTAATTTGACCCCAACCACTAGCCAAACACAAATCATACAAATCACTAGTCCACCACCTCCATCAAATGAATCTTTCAACTCATTTGTTTCTTCGTTTGACATGATATAAATGTGTATTTACGACTGAATGAGAGTTCGCGAAATTGATGGCCAATATCAATTCTGACCACATATGTCTTCGTTTTAAAGAAATATGTAAATCGCTTGGTATTTTAATTGTCTCATTGATATCCAGTACCGAGAAAAAGATGATGTTACCATGGTATCAGTGATCGGACCGTTTATGGCATATTGATTTATTGATGCATAGACCTCTGAACGGAACTGTTTCTTAAATAATATACTATATATGCATCGAACATAAATACCTCGTCAAAATCACGAACGACGTTCTCGTCCATAAACGATGCTATTAGGAGAATATCTGAAGTGTTTTTCTACCTGCGTTGCAGAAATCCAGCAGCGATTTTCAAGTTTTTACTTACAGAGTAACGTTCATGAAATGCATAATAATTTAATGATTTACCAGGGGAATCACTGAGTCAGAAACACACTGCTGAGTAGAATTTTCAGCTGCGGTTTATCTGCCCCCGAGGAAACTATGTAATCACGATTCACACGCTCGTCCACACGCCCTCCTGAGTCATTTGTGTTTGTGCTGGAGTGAGCTGGATGAGCTCGTCAGTTCTGAAAGTTCGGTAAACATGCGAAGAATTCCGCCCTCGTATTCCGACAAAGAGAGGGGACCACTACCACCGTGAAAATATGCACAACTTATTTTCTGCGAACCCGATCGTTTCAGAGTGGATTTAGGAAGATGTCAGCGACTTTGATGAGGTTGAGGAATAAGGAAAAATACTTGCATGTTCGAAAACGAATTATTTGTTATTCACTCGCAAGGCGCATGCTGCCTCGTGTTTTCTTTCACACATTCAAATTTTTCCAAGGGGTAGTAATGATGAAATCGGATTGGGTGAACTGTGTGGAATTTCACGAATGATTACGTTCGAGGACTTTTACTATTCAGAATAATCTCCTTAATAATGATGTAGAAAGCTGAAAATCCAGCCAACGCAGGTGCATAAATCTTGTATTGGCACCAGCGTCGACTGTGGAAGTAATTTTGATTGATGAGGTTGTTTTATACTTTCATAGAGGGATTATTATTCGGAAAAACTCAAGTTTATTGGGCACAATTGTTATATAATGTTTGATAATTGAGCACACCTCGGCTAAAATCCCTAAATTCTTCGCTCTTTTGGGTTGCATAGAAAGACAAAACTGGGTCCATAATTCTTTCGTGAAAATAAGTATATGACCTATTTAGTTGCTTTCTACGTTGGTAGTGTAATCAGGATAGTGTAGCTGCCCAATATTCGAAGGATTTGAGAGTTTAGCATGGCAAACAATTTCCAAAATAAATGAATTGATATAGAAGAACATTTTCCGTAGTTGCACATAAGTCTATATTTAACACAGTTAGATGTTTATTTCATGTGGAACCCACTGGGGTCTGTTGTTTACATTCTCCAATCGCATACTTTAAAAAACTGGAATAGAGTATCATAATTGCATTGCAACACATCTCATGAAAGAAAACAGGAAGGTTAACGTGAGTTCAGTAAAGCGAACTGACCGATGTGTTGAGAGCGAAGGGTAGTGCTTTGAACACTTGCCATCATTACCTACGAGTGTGATCAATTCAGGGACTAAATATGAATCGCTTTTTTCCAATAAAGAAACAGATTACTTAATCGGACTAGTTTTTCAAGTACGTGTATTTTTACACGAAATATGAGCCTTAAACAACAGGGTAGGGGCCACACCGGGCGAGTGATCACACTAGATGAGTGTTCCGCCAGTTTGCTTCGTAGGAACCCGCAGCAGACATCACTCTCAATTGACAAAATTGAACTATAGAAATGGATGATAAAATCTCCATTCAGGTCACCGCCAAGGCGATCGAATTGGTATTCTTTATTTGAATAACGGAGGATTCGGTGCATGAAAACTGCATAAAAGAACCAAAACGGTAACGCCAAGTTCATATCATTCTTTCAGTATATGTGAAAACTATCGATCTGTTCACAATTCTGTTGAAAATCAAGTACATCTTTTGATAATGAGGTGGGTTTAATAACTGAGATTAACAAGGTCACCTACACCGGAATCTGCAATAGTTTTTCCAGTCTTATTTTCCTGGGTAGATCACACTGACTGAAATCAATTCCTTTTCACTTGTGTCTAATTGTAGAACGTGACAAAATGACAGCACAGTGCTGATCAATTTATTCTTGTGGCATGACGCGGGGTGATGAGGCGATCCGTGGCCAAACATTAGTTCAGTGTTTTAATAATTTTGCGAGAGGTCAGTTGAGAAATCTACCCACGGTAAACAGTCACAGGGTGACTAAAGCGATCGGAATCATAAACACATACCAACACACTATATATGAACTCTGTTCCACAAGTTCGTAAAAAATTAAATATGAGCTTATTCATGACCTAGTTTTTTTCCTGAACTCGTTCCTTGGGATCATTACAATACTAACAGTTCAGAACAAAATTTCTCTTCCAATACCCTTCGGTCTCCTAAAACGGTCATTATGTTCACCACCTCAGTAAAACATGGCAGGCTTGAACGGTATATTTTTAATGTAAACCAAAAATACCTTGCATAATGGGGATGAAGCATTCAGGTTGTGAAAGCGCATAAACGCATCCTGGTCTCGGCAGTTGAGGAGATCTGAAATAATAACAACAAAAATGGTGCAAAATATGACGTGAACGTGAATGGGCAAACAGTGACAGTGCATACACTAGTGACTTGGGTAGAAAAATGGGGACTGGTTTTATAATCTGTGCAGGCAACTTTTATCACCTAAACAATTTAACATATATGAATATCCAACCTAAAAGTATGCATAATTTATACGGTACCATTGTATCATAGTAATTGGAAACGTATTTAAAATTATAAGTAATTGCAGTCTCTATTCATTGGTTCAAACAAGTTTATTGTTCATTATTTTTCATCGCATTCGTTTTTCATGGCAATATCCGAATGACTGTGGTCTGGCTTATTGTATGTTAATCGCATATTTATCTAACAAATGGAACAATAACTATATCCTTCGTTTTTAAAATAAATGTTATTCGGACGGGGGAATACTGGAATTTGAATATACGTGTCTGTGTGTATTGTCAAGTCACCGGCAGCTACCTTATCTCGGTCAGTTGGCAAACCATAATTTACAACATTACACGAAAACGCTTACTAATTGGCTTGATGAACTCCTGGTTGTGATTGTCACGGTTTCATTCAATAATTTAGGCACTCCGAAGGTAAGACTGAGTTGATGACGTTTCCAGCAGGAATGAGGTTATCACGCGACCAGTTGCTTTGCGAGTAATTTTTAGCTAGCCAAAGACTCTGATTTTGAGTCCTAAAGAAAATCATCCACTTCAATTTGCGCAAACTGGTGATAGCTCGTCCGAGCACAAACCATAGTTTACAAATTCCAAGCCACATAGAATTCTGCTTCAGCAAGCCGTTCCCGAGATCAATTTCAAGAGAAAAGACCTCATTGCAATACTGCGCGATTTATGTCCAGGACGATTGCGCCGGATCACAACATCGTGCATATTTCAGAAAACACAGCGCTTTAGCGTGTAATTCAGAATGGTAGAATACATTCAAATAGACAAACATTTAATGAGGAGGGGTAAAAGGACCATGTCACCAGAGTAAAAAAATTGCAAAAAATTTCTTTTTGTTGACACAAGCGGCTTCCATCAGTTAATAGCAATCACTTCAACAAGCATAAGCATTCTTGCGCTTCGTGACTTCTAGGTAATCTGAAACGGTGTGCCTCAGTTGACCTGGTGTTGCGTCATCGGAGGATGTCGAGCTATGGTTGATGACGGAATTTTGTAGTTTCGACGGTCGTTCCGATGCTGTGGAGTTGAACTCAATCGGGTCATCTGAATTTGGACCGAAATCGGAATATTTCTAACCGCCCGGTTACGTAATTGTCACTCTTTTCTCCCCATATAGGTCGCTTCGCATCCACATTGGATCTTGGAGCTCAGGTTAAAGTTGGCGCGCAGTGGCAGGACGTTCTTTTGCCGGAGGTGTGGGTATTGTATGGTTGTCCGATAGGCTATTTGGGGGTCAGCTGCTTAATAGGCTTGGGCAATTGCCAATCTCAGTCGTTTTATGAGCAAACAACTTACGTCATGATCTTTGAATTGCAGGCCCAACGTGCCCCGTAGTTTTGGAGCCATACCTCAACATCTTCTAATGACGCAACACCAGATAGTCTGAGGCACACCGTTTCAAATTACCTAAAAGTCACGAAGCGCAAGAATGCTAATGTTTGTTGAAACGATTGCTATCAACTGATGGAAGCCGCTTGTGTGAACAAAAGAAACGGTGCCATAAATATGCTTGTTTATTTCACGTCAGCGATTCAGAAGATTAAACGAAATGTTAACAACTCGCGACATATGTCTTCTCTCGGTCTTGATACGATGGGTACATGGTCCTTTTATCCCTCCCCATTAAATGTTTGTCTATTTGAATGTATTTTACCATTCTGGGTTGCACGCTAAAGCACTGTGTTTTCTGAAATATGCACGATGTTGTGATCCAGCGCGATCGTCCTGGATATAAATCGTGCAGTGTTGCGGCACAGATTTCTGGGTATCTGTAAATTAATGATAGGTTTTGAACCCCAACTTGCACAGCCATTGAACCAAAAGCTTACTGTGTATGATCTGTTGATCGAAGGCTTCCGAAGCGGAGCTGGGAATCGAGCGCGAATGTCCTCGATGTCGACGAACAGACACGTATGCTCGCATCTTTCTGAAACGGAACATGGACCACGAAAACTGATACCGGACAAGTGAACAATCGATGGTGCTGCTTTATTCTCTCTAATACTCACTCTTCACAGTCGATTCCTATTTATCCTTGCGAAGTTAATCTCACCTAATAAAAAAGTTTTTATGGATCCATTCGGGCAAAAAATCACAAAAACAACACATTTTGAGGAAGTATGTAAAGTACAATTCATGCAAAAATATCTCCGGTTACATACAGAAATGTTGCACATGTATGGTTGAACATAGCTTCAAATGACTCGAGTTTATTTTGTGACTGCAGCGGAACCTGTCAGTATTACGAAAGTATAGAGGAGGGGACAGATACCAATTTCCTGGCCGTAATATGTCATCTACTGACTAGGATAAGAATGTAAAAAGACAAAGCAGACATTTTTTTTATCTAGCGGTATTCAACCATAGAAGAATTTTCTTTAAACCAAGGTTAAAGCGGAACGGCGGTCACATGGCTGCAAAATGCGGGTGAACTGTCACTAGCATTACTTTCCCGTACGTAAAAATTTGTCTGACCACCGAAAGGAAATGTTGGAGAGAGGTTTTATATTTTGAAAAACACCAAATGCAGGGTGGAGGATTAGAGAGTGAGAGAGGAAAATAATGCACACTGGTGTTCTTTTTGACCCCATAATGATCATTCATACCTGTTTGGAGTGACTGTTCCTTACTCAGTAACGAAAGGACCAATAAGACTAGCTCACAACTATGGAGCACTTCCTACTCAAATGCTCAAATGTATATTCGAAACACGCAGTCAACTTGTGTCGTAATTTTTCCATAAGAGTATTGTCGAAACGGATGTGAAGTCGTTCTGTTTCTACTTCCTAAATACTACTTTCATACTTTGTCAGCCTAAATCATCAGAAAAACACAACCATTTTCCACCGTGTGCCGTTTCAGTTTCCAGCTCGAACTCGCTGTTTTGGGTCAGCGTAGAGCCCAGTCACGTGATATGCATACCACTGAATGGAAGGTAGATGTATGATTATAAATGACGCTCTATTTTCTATGACCTCGGTAATTCAGATCCCTCGTATTTTTGCCGTTAGACGACATGATCTTATGTGGTCTGTCTATAGAACAGCACATTCCTCTTCTCAATTCAACGCCGCTCCAAATATTTTCGGATGATTACGGATTAAAGTCGGATAGTGGGACAATGTGTGGTCAAATTTGGTCCGATTAGCTGAAGACCATCGCACAAGAGAGACTGGATATATTTTTCATCTTAGTTTTAACACCATTCGGGCTGAGATAGAAAAAAGTCTATCCTAAATATTTAACCGAAACCGGCTCGGAGTACACATATGGTCTGTGTGCGTACTGTGTATCCATTCTGCGGTGCACCAAAAACCGATTGCCGTTTATCCATGATAGCTTCCAGATGCTGACTATGCAGCAAAAAAAGATACGCAGTGAGATTGGGGAAGGAATAATGGTCCACTATTGGGGACAGAGTATGATGAGCATTGGAGAAAAGTGATAGAGGTGGTGTGCGTGGCTACAGGGCCGGATGGAGGAGGGGTTTTTCTTCCAACGGAAGACAGTCGACTTAACTGTATTTTCGGTATTTTCTGAATAAAGCTTTCATTACAGGTCAGCCAAGTGTGCTACCCAAACTTTTGGTTGTTCTGCTGTCCGACGAGACTGGGGTGCATTGTGAAGCGCCAAATTACGTGGCTTCGCCTGTGTGATACGGACAGCTTGTGAGTGAGCACCATGGCGATGCTCTCTGTGTGACTATCTGTTGCTTACTTGTAGGGTACAGTGATTGATGATTGGTGTTTGTTGCAGGAGGTTTAACGATAGTCAATCGGTGACTTGTGAACCTACAAAAAATTTGTTCGATTGAAATTCGTCATGTAGGTTGTGTTAAGCTTCCCGATTGGAAACCTTGAGATCTACTTAAGCTATGGTTAGATGCTGTGCTATGTGATTGGTAGTGATGTATCAAGGCATTTTATCAGAGTTTCTACACCTATTTTAAATTTAGACTACCCTAATATCAACGTAATATGTCCGGTTATCATATGGACTGCATTCTGAGTAGTGGAAGGAATAGCTGTTCCATTGACAAAATAGTGCGATTTCTCTTCAACCCACCCGTCCCCTTCTCATATGAAGCGAATTCGGTTGGGAGCACCGCAAGTAGCAAAAAATACGTTTGCAGTGGAGATGGGCGTGAACGAAATCGTGCGGTGATCGAGATGCTTAACATCAGTTGGATAAACGCATTGCTTCAGGGTTTGCCGTTATAGTCCGCTTTTTGCTTTTCCCGTAATACCAGACAACTTCAATAGATATGGAAACATCCTTACTTAATACTCCTGTATCTTAAATTTAAAAATATACATTCTATCTATCTTAATGAGGATCTTAGTTTATCGCTTAGGTTCACTCTTTCTTGTATTGGTTAATCAAATAGGTGATTCAGAGAAAACCACTGAAAACAACGTATGGAAGTGCACAGATTATCGGGTTTTACAAATTGAAAGTGATACTAACAAAAGTAGGAAAATTAATTGTAATTTTTCACGTCCTACTATACATTCAGTGTTAATGGAGATGTAGGCTTTTAACTAATTGTACGTATAAACATTAATAATCAAATTTTGTATATTACAGTTGCTGGGTTCAACAAAAATATGGATCTATTTTTCTGCAGGGGGTTTGTAGGCAGTCGACAAATATCCAAGGTAATCGATTACACGCCGTCAAAACAAGAATATTTACATAATTAACCACATAAAAATTGATTTATTAAAACCAGAGAAAGGAGGAACTTTTTACTACCTGTACGCGTTGGGACACTTCATTTATGACATGTCTTCAATGAAGCCGTTTGTTTTACTCCATTTCTTTCACCCTCAATCTGCCTATTATCACAGGACTACTGCAAAGCTTGTCACCCTGCACCAGTAACATGTCAGTGGGGATTTTCGTCTCACAATCTTTTTCAATTCATAGCGTTTTCAGTGTTTTACTGTTCAAACCTGCTGCAAAGCTCCACCCACGGAGAACCTGTCTGCCAGCGATTGCGATTAATACCGTCATCCCGCCGTCTTTTGACGCCGTCCCCTTGTCATCTTTCCGTTGTCTGTCGTTAATATATATGTTAAAGATTTGTAATGGTCGACTGTATAACATATACATGCAATATTTACTTTAAATATAGAGAAGGCATCTAGGATTAGTGTGTAAATTTCAAGATAATATACAAAGGTTCATAAATTCCCTCTCACTGACTTTTCAAGCAGTGCAGTAGCGTATCATTTTGTGCACTGACTAATTAGGTATACTACTGCTTTTTGGACTAATCTCTAGGTCACTCAGTAACCTGGCAACCGCGAAGTCACCGATTGCGTTTGGCAAATCTGTCCTGATTTAACCACAGCATCGATTATCCTCCATTCGCATCAACACACTGACCTAATTGTAGCCAAAAAACGAACACCATATTCCAGGGGCTGAGGAGAAAACAGGGCGAAGCAACCCAAGGAGCAGGAGGGGGGTGAAGGAGAAAGATAGTTTTATTTTAGCTACCTGCGTGAAACTCCTGATACGTTAGGCGAATTGGTTATCACCTAGATTGCATGTTCTCGTTTTAAGTCAGAACTCATAAGCATCCGAATTGGTTACAAACGTTCGTGTCATGAACAGCCGTGCTGAAATACGTGTGAACGTTTGTCACTCAGCATCTTCTTGATTATCGAGAGTAGTTGACAAGGTTTGTCAATGCAAACGAACTCTATCTCGGATTGATCTCCGCTTGAGTTCGACAATTTCTGCCTCCCATCTGAAGTAAGAAAAGGATTTGTGATAAAAACAACAACAACAACAACAACTGTCCCTGGGGGTACAGTGAGTGTGAGGCTTTGCAAATGCGCCACTCAATTCACTTGCAGTCTGGAGAGTCAACCTTGTAGCTAGTTACAATGGATTAGCATGAAAAATTATCCTTCTGTGAAATGTTTCTGTCAAATTCTTTAATAACCGTGTGTGGTTCAAAATACACATACGGACAAATAGGTCCTCGCATTCCACGCCCTATTCTACTATTTTGCAACCGCTGTAACTCCGTGATACCCGTTCACGATCAACAGGTCAGGTAATCTTTTGCGGAATTACTGCGGTACCAACTCTTCAAGATATGATGTTACCTTGCTGTGTACTGCTCTCTGGCTTACGGATTGAACTTGTCTTTCATCTTTATTCTTCTAGCAACGAAATCCTAAATAATTTTGATCCCATTTAGGTTCGGTGAGAAGACTGACAAGGAGAGGAGCGTGTTCCGGTGTAGTTTATATTCTGCACAATACAAGGATAATGCGAACAGGCCTGGACATTCGGCAGGACCCAGCTGGCCCTCGTATTCACCGTCTGACGAAACAGATGATGGTTCAGAAGCATGTAGTTTCTGACCCGATCAACATACTTTTCAAAGTTCAAACGCACACTCCTCCCGTCCATCCGAAATGCTCCCTCCCCTGTAGAACCTGATGAAACCGCCATAGCCCTTTTTAATGTAATGCGTAACATCCATGGGTTTTAGATCACCGACCCAGATAGATTCTTTAGGCCATGACGGCTCAAGATGAACCTAACCTCATCATTGCAGATAACTAGTTAGAAATGGTTTTTGTCTGCCACCACCGTACTGTCTACCGTCTATTGTCAGTATTTTTCTCACAACCGGTAAATTCAGCCACAAGTCCTCATATTCATACTGTGGGTCCTTGAAATACACCACCTGTTCTTCCAATATCTTCACCTTCCTATGCACTGCCAAAACTGACTGGTGTCAGCATTGGCTAAGACCAATCTGAAAACTCCGCTGGATTGGAGCATTGGATAATGTCATTTCGGACTCCGGTGTCTGGCGAATCGATGACGTGTTGCTATCGTTAACTTGTTGCTACCTCAATCAATGGAGCGCCCTTAGATGCCCACATGTTTGGGTCGGACAATATTCACCACGT